GCTGCACAGTCTGAAACATGTCATCCGTCGTCTAAATATGCTCATCTTCCCCAACAGCAGCACCATGTGAGGACTTGGCTTTTCGTCAGCTACTCGTTAAGTTTGGTGCTTTTGCCTATGTGAGACTAGTGGTCTGATTATCCAAGCTCCAGTAGATACAGTTGCAGGCAGGCTCACGCCAAGCAAACATCCGGCTGATGTAGCCGTGGGGCAGGGAGGGACTGGAGAGAGAGGCAACTAAATTCCAACAGCAATTTCATTAGTGATCAGATGGCATTAAGACGTCCCCGAATATTCTCTCCTGGACAGCACAAACTACGTCGGCTAACAAACCAGAAACCAAATCAGACTGGACAAACGAGATTTGAACTCTCAGCTGTCTGCTGAACTGTCCTCGTGTTCGACAGAAGATCCTTTGAGTCTACAACGTCAAATCAGCTGAATGTCTCCTAAAATAGGTCGGGAATTAATTTATGTCTGGACATAAACAGATAAAAGGTATCAAGAGCTTGTTATTGTCAAAATAAATAAGACTGATTCTAATTCAAACAACCATTTAAATGAGTAAATGTTAGAAATGAGATTTCAGTTGTGACATCGGTGCTCAAGAAATCACACCGACACACAAGAGCTTCCACTTGACAACTTCCATCATCAGCTGATTTCACTCCTGTTTGATACACGAGTCCTAAAATTTTAACTGGCATGCTGACGGCCCGAAGCCAAGGAATTTCTGGAGAATTTCCACAGTATGAATCATGGAATATCTGTTAAAAAATACCCTCAAGCAACCCAATTACACTGGCTTTGTGACAGATAACCGATGGGAGAGGAGGCTGATGGGAGAGGAGGCTGCAGTTTTCATAAAAAACTGATCTTGTTACAACGAAGGAGATAATTACTTTTTAAAAACTTTGGTGATGAAACCAACTAGGCTGTGACTGACGGCTAATAGTTGGACACACAAAATTGCGATACAAGATGCATATAATCAATTTGAATCAGGCAGAATTAACTTGTGTCACAACTTCCTTGTTTATTTTTTGTAATTCCGTCTCTCTGCATGTCGCAGCTTAGCTCCCCAGGTCGCAAAAACCCACAGAAACCGAACAGAGACGAGTTTGAGACAAGCTCCACATCACTGCAACAACTCTGTGACTACTGGGAGGGAAAATCAGTCTTGCAAAATTCAGAAAATGCTCTAAACTTCATCAATTGTTGCGAGTAAGGCATTTAATTCAAATGAGGACAGGGAGAAGCACTAAGGAATGTTTTGAAACATTTTGGAGACATGATCAGAGATATTTTCCTGTGGAAGAGTTAAACGAAAGTGAGCTTAATGCTAGCTCACATTTAACTACTCTTATCACTTGTGAGCAGACAAAACTTGCTGAAAATTATTTAGGATATTTTTCTTGTTAAAATAGTTTTGCTCAACTCCTGGAAACTAAAATGAGATTAAATCCAAACAGGTTCTAGTGGGCAACTCTGCAACTATTTTGAGACTAAAGTCTTGCAAATATTTTGTTCAAAGCATCAGCTTCCTGAGAACAAGGCCCTGCTGCTCATATGAAAAACAAAGAACCCTGACTCGTGAATGTTTGAAGACATTTTGGAAACTCCTTTGTGAATATGCGGTTTTAAATTATCACCAGCCGTCAGCCCTGTAATGGGCCATTCTCATCTGTACCGGGTCGGCCCGGGTAGCCCCAGTCGGCCACAGCCTGGCCCGGTTGATTCCACACATCCTTGTCTCAAGCCCATGTGGGCTGATTCTACCCACCAATCAGAGGCTTGCTCTAATGGAAGGTGTGAATTTGCTGTCAGCAGTGGGTGTGTTGGCCCTGGTCGGCTTGAAGCAGACCCCCTCGAGAAGAGGGCTGAGAATGAGCCTTGGTTGGCCCGGAAAAATACCAGGCCACCCAGATATGTAAACAACCTACGCTACCCGGCCCGACCCGGTACAGATGGGAATGGCCCATAAGTTACTGGTATTCTATCAAAACACACCCCCTATCCAGGTGTGCCACTGAGCCTTTCTGTGCATGTGCATTTTCACACCCATCCATCTGTGCTACTTCACTTTTGGAAAAGCCGTTTTACAACGAGGATTATCCCAAAGGCTCATTTAATTCTTGTTTTTGTACTTGTTGCACCTGCTCATTGTCGCTGCTTTAGGGTAACAAATGAACATTTGTTTTGTTTGATCATTTTGACCCAATTTTAGCCAAACTTAAACTAGCCTTACTAAAAAAACTTTTTTTTAAATAGAAACTTTAATTAAGCCATGTTATCTGCCTCGTATCTTTAGTAAATACCTACTGCACATAAATTACATTCATCTGCCCAAACCTTCCATCCTGTTTTTCAAAAGAGATCAATAAAAGATTTAAGAGCGTGTACGCACGATTTTTGGCCACGACCGATGAACAGGGCTCAATTATAGCAGCGGAATCTGTGGTCATCTTTCAAACTGTCTCCACATTCAACTGGACAGCACCTGGACCAATCGGAGCAATGAACAACGTGATGCATTATCGCCACGGGTGTCATCAACAGGGGAGGCCGCCATACACCAAAGGGAGAAGCAAATACATCTTTTTTTTTTTTAAATAAATGACTCAAGAGAACAGATCGGGTATAAATTGTCCAGAGTCGATGCCTCGACCGAATCTTTTCCTGCTGCTACGGTTGGTCTAGATTTCCAGGCTAGCCCTGCTTTACAGTTAAGGTGATTTTAAGAAGTTTTAGCTTGCTCTTAGCACCCGCTAGTGTTCCTTAGTTAAACCAAAAGTTAAACTTATCTCCTCACTGTGTGCTCGTCTTTTTTCACACCTTAAACTGCTAAAATGCCTCCTCAGACGTCAGTTTCTACAGGAGTGACTCATCACTAAATGGAACAAATCAGCTGTGTTCATGATCTAAAACATGCTGGAAGTAGACTGCAGTGCCAGGTATGTCAGCCCTACCAAGTCCAACTGGGACCGAACCGGCAACTCTCAAGTTGCAAGTGAAATATTACGGCAGGCCAGCGGTGAGAGTCTGACTGACATTTCATTAACCTGTAAAGGGTCAATTTAGCACAAACTGGCTTAAGAGAACGATTAAAAAACCTGAAAAAGTCACTTAGTGTGTTTTAAATGTTGCATTTTCCAACAGGGTAACAGAAATAAACGAATCACCGGCTTTAGGTTCGGCCAGTCTGATGCTCACGGCCCTCGACGTCCACCTGGGTTTAGGCGGCATGGGATGAAAAGACAAACGGTTTTACTGCAACTGAAAGATGCTCAGAAATAACTTTGCAATTAAATATTTCCAACATCGTTCAGCACCATTAAGAGCCTAAATAAGCTTGTTTACACACTGAACGGAGACAAAAGACGAGTCCAACCCTCACTTCAACAGGACCCAAGCTGCCACTGGATCCGGCTCCTCAGGGATGACAACAACCCTGCAGCCAGTGGCACCCCCACAAGCTTGCCGTGACATCTGGCACTGGGATAGTGCACCGTTATCAGCTGGAGCACTTACCAGAAGGACAGCACACCAGAATAGCCCTCTTCACCTCTGCCTCGAGGTGTCCGTCAAGGACTCCAACAAGAGCCTCTCAGAGGTTTATTTTCTGTGTGACGTGAAGCGTGAATCCAAAGAAACAGGTGATAAAAACGCCCAACGGCCTAAACACGCGCTGCGCTGCCTTTTTCCGCTGAAGGGAAAAAATGTTATCCGAGTCGAATGTGATTGATGCCATTTTTGGGAATCCGTGATGCTGTGCAGAGAAAAGACTTGATGCAAAATGCAACAAAATCATCCGTCTTCAAGACAATCTTTGGTTTAAAATATCAGACGGGTTCAGGAGCGTTTGTCGGAAACGTCGATGGCCCTACGAGCTTTGGGAGTCGTCTCACACGTCCAGAAATGTGAAAAACAAGATTTTCTAACCAATTTTAACATTTGAACTGTTCTTTTCAATAAAATCAAATGAAATATCTTTTAAAATAATCTGCTGACTTAAGAACACACCTTTTTCCATAGTTCAAAATCCAAAACCCGGCATGCACCAAGTTGTTTCAACACATTCATGCTGAAAGATCGGAATCCCAACAGAAGCCGTGTTTTATTATCATCTCAGACTGCAGCATGTTTTATTTTCTCCCCCTTAAATGTCTCTTCGTGTGCCCAATTCATCAGCTATCACTCATCTGCAGTCACACCAGCTTAATTGCCCTGAAGGGGCCACCAGGGGCCACCTGGCACCCTCAGCAGGGGAGGAGGAGGAGGAGGAGGAGGAGGAAAAAAGGAGGAGGAGGTGTCAAAACCAGGCAGCAACACATTCAGAACCACTGCCGGCAGGCATCGTTCACTTCATCTGAGCACACAAGTCAAGCTCTTGGAATAATGTGGCTCATTCATCATTTTCACAGAGAATTACGCAAATCCTCCAACCTACGAGCAGGAGCGCTCCATTCTCACACACCTGCCAGAGCCTGGTGGGTTTGCATACGAGAGAAGGTTCAACACTTCACGGATCGGCTGTCAAACAGACCCAGAATAGTAAAAAGAAGAGTTGGAGTTCCTCCACATCTTTGGCAGGTGGAAGCCAGTGACCTGGAGCAGAGCCAGTCCTCACCATATCGGTGTTATGTTGAAAGATGACCCAAAGACACGGTAGCTGCAACCGGATCCATGTAAAGCAGGCTATCATTTAGGTGTTTAAACACCATCATTTATTCTGAGATAAAACTAAATGCTAATTCCTTCATAAATTGGGTTTTGGCTGCAAACATTTGGATGTTTTGGAGGATCTCGGTGCAACTTGTGCATCATTTGCAACTACTTAAATTGAATAATCCTTTTAATATCTAAATTATTTCTAAACCTTCAGCTTATATGATTTGGGAAACATCCAAATCATGGAGAGAAACTCCACTTCTCTGCAATGTGCGTGTTTTGTGCGTAGGTGTGCACATTTGGCGCAAATTTCACTGTGATGTACTCACCGGCCACGCGAACTGGAAGGGGATCACAACCTTGCCAGCTTCGTTGTTCTTCGTGGCGCTCTTAAAAGAAAACATATTTCCACCAAGAACGTGCATAGATTCGCTCCCGTACGTGCACGCGCCTCCGGTGTTGACCTCTATCTGATACTCCTTCAGGCACACTCTGAAGTAGGTGTCGCACTCGTCGCGGCTGCAGCGCAGGTCCTGGGAGCTCCGGGCTCCGTCGCAGCACTCGCCGTCCGCCAGCTCACCGTTCGGGTTCTCCACGGAAATCAGCTGCAGCTCGAAATAGCCGGTGGACCGGGACACCTGGAGGCGACAGAGCAAGAGTAAAATCACCACTCATAAACATATTCACCCAATTTTTATTTTTATTCTAGTAATAGCACCAGAAATGGAGGATTTGTGTTGCGTAATCTGGTGCGTAAAGATGAGTTTTAGTTTGGAACAGGACAAACAGAAAGGGAGGGGTGTGGGACCAATTAATGCAGAGCAACTTGTGCTTCTCAGGTGAACATCCTGCAGCTTCTCCATTAAGCTGCAGCGAACTGAAAGTTCGGTTCGGGCCCAATTCTCACCACTAAAATAAATAAATGACGGTAAAATGGCAGAGTTGTGGTCCTCAGACTCCAGCCGTGTCGTGGTAACGCGACCGCATGCTCCACAACAGACGGCTGCTGCGTAATTCAATTAGCGACTAAAACGAAAATGATGCGAATGTGCGGCACCGGCGCAAAGCCGTGCTCCCACGCGCACCAACTTTCATCTCCTCCAGCATTTATTTGACCATAAATATTATTTTATTCTAAAGAGAAATAAACAAACAGCCTTTAAAATAACAAGCTTCTTACCTCCGTCCATACCGCCAACAGCAGGAGCACTATTGGGAAGCAATTCCTAATCCTGGTGCGATTCCACATGCCTCCGATTAATTAGAGTGACATGGGAGGAGGGAAGAGGGGGAGGAGGGGGAGCGATAAAAAAAGAGAGAAACAAACAGCCACGGACCCGGCGACCAGTTCCTCCTCTCCTCAAATGCAAATCCCAAATATTCACATGCGGCTGTCCGGAGTCCACCGAGGCGTTACATGCGTGTGTGTGCGCGAACGGGCGGCGGTTTGCGGCGCGCTGATGGGTCCACGCACAGGAGCGTCCCTCCGTCAAATCTCTCCACACAGCAACTGAGATGTTTCACAGCCCACAGCCTGAGGAGAGGACGTCTGCTTTGATTGGCAGCTCCGCAAACCACTTACAAATTGGCCTGCGGGCAGTCTCTGAGCCAACCGGATTAAGGGGCGGACAATAGTATAACACCCCCTCCTCCTCCTCCTCCTCCTCCTCCTGCACCTCCTCCTCCTAAAACTTGTATTCAGAATCATTTAAGCAAAACGCCATAAAAGAGACGCAAACAAAACAGGACCAGGATGTAATTAAACGCATATTTTATTTCCCTCACACTCCTAATTAACCCCCCAGACAAGGAGATTACCACGAATAGAGGATTAATTTTTGTCTCCTTAAAACTTTAAGGAATATTCTGTGAAATTAGACAAATAATCTGTAATTTGTGACATTCTTATTATTGCAAGATGAGATATTTAATATAACACAAATAGAATCAAATGTGAGAAAACCCCACAGGTGAGTTTGGCTGCAACGTTATTGTGTTTTTTGCGGAAATAAAACCTCTTAAAAGGTATAATTGTTCTTCTTAAGCAGGACATTTTAGATGTGTTGCATTACGACAGCGTAGAGCGCCCTCTACTGCCCATAAAACATCCTGTTCTACTCTGAAAATGAAGCATCAGACATGCTGAATGTTTGTTTTATTGATTGACTCTTGAATTTACGCAGCTGATGGTGTGTTCCACAGGTACTATCCCATATAAAAAACACCCATGGTGCATTCAGACGCACGTGCTCCCATCATGCTTTGGAAGAAACGCATCTCCAACCGGCTGCAGTGATCACTTTTCTATCTAAAAGTAGAATATTATTGCAGTTTTCTCATCTTCTGCTGCAGAATGTGAAATATAATTATTTTAACATTATTTTGTTGAATACCCCATAAACTACTAAGAGGAATTAAATAAAAATTGGAAAAGCAAGATGATTCAAGATGGTTGCCACAGCTAATAATTTCCCTTTTTACTGACATCGAGCTGAATCTTGGTGTTTTTGCAGCTGAAATTTTGGATGAAACTTTCAGAAACTTCACTGCAAATCCAAAACTGGTTCAGATTCAGTGGAGCTATTTAATCAATTTAAACTAAAAAAAACTCAGCTCATTTAAACTTCAATAAGACATTTGTATCCTGACAAGGGACTGGTTTGCATTATTATAAACCTGCTTTAGAGGTTCATTTTGCAGTGGGAGAACGAGAAAACATGACAGCCAGAATGAGCTTCAGGTAAACATCAGCACGCATCACACCGTCTGCAGAACAAGCTGGAAAACAAAGATGGAGGAAAAGCATCCAAAATCCTCACAGAACAAGATTCTGTAGCAAAAGTCTGATCAAATCCTCTGAACAGGAAGTAAAATTATCTCACGCTGCTACAAGGAAACTGCAAAGGAAGCAAACTAACTGCTTAAAGTATAAAAAGTGCTCTCTTTATTTTAATTAGAATAAATATTTTACATTTAAGTTTCCTCTAAAATGGTAAACGGCCTGTATTTGATATAGCGCCTTCTAGAGACCTGGAACCCCTCAAGGCGCTTTACAACACAGTCATTCACCCATTCACAAACACATTCACACACTGATGGTGATGAGCTACAATGTAGCCACAGCTACCCTGGGGCGCACTGACAGAGGCGAGGCTGCCGAGCACTGGCGCCACCGGTCCCTCCGACCACCACCAGCAGGCAACGTGGGTTAAGTGTCTTGCCCAAGGACACAACGACAGCGACAGACTGAGCGGGGCTTGAACCTGCAACCCTCCGATTATGGGGCGAGCACTTAACTCCTGTGCCACCGTCACCCCAAAAAGCCTCAGACAAAAAAACTCATACCAGCTTAGTGGCCAAAACTAGAAAACTCTAGAAACCCTCTTTTTGTGTGACAACAAGATGCAGAAGCTTCCAGATAAAGCATCACACACACACACACACACACACACACACACACACACACACACACACACACACACACACACACACACACACACACACACACACACACACACACACACACACACACACACACACACACACACACACACACACACACACACACACACACACACACACACACACACACACACACACAGACACACACACACACACACACACAGACAGACGTGTCACTGTCCCCCTCTCATCAGGCAACTGCCAGCCTGTCAGATAGGTCTGAGGATGCAGCAGATAGCCTGAGCCTCTGCAGACGCTTGACCTGGAAAGTTTCACACGCTGTCACAAACGCACAAGAACATCTTAAGGTGGATCTCATTTAATACAGGAAACGTGGAAATCAGTAAAAGCACCATCTTTCATTAACGTTCGTAGCGTCAGGACATCTTTCATCTTGATATTTTAACCGATTTTGCTGAGCTGGTGTTTATCTCCAGCAGCCATCAGGTGAGAGGCATGGGACACCCCTGGACAGGTCGCCAGTCCATCACTAAGACACACAGAGACAAATAAACCCATCATGCACACCCTCACACATGAGGACAATGTAGTGTCTCCAAATAACCTTACATGCATATTTTTGGTCAGTTGGAGGAAACCGGCATCTCCAAAGTAAGCCCACACATACAGGAGAACATGCCAACTCCATACAGTCTAACCTTTGACCTTATAGCTGTGAGGGAACCGTGCTACCTTATGGCCCTCATCAGGAGATTATAAAAAATAAAAACAGACTCTGTAAGAACACAAATACACACGATTCCTTCATTCCATTAACATTTACTGACTTTTTGTCTTATTTGTCAGAAAAAATAGCTTCTTGTAGCTCGACATTTGGTCCAAGATGCCTCTGACAGATCTGACTCTATATCCTGGTGGACTCGGTGACCGGACAGTGTCCAGGTCCTGTGGCTGCAGGACAACCCCACATCATTAACCCTCCACTACCGTGCTCACAGCTGCTATGAAAACATCTTTTCATGTTATTAAATAAACAATCACCGAATCTGGAATCTGTTAAGGAAATATGTCAGCGAAAGTTCCAAACTTTAAAAAAGGATCTTTAAAAAGGAGGAAGTACAAACAAAACAGAGCGAGATGTTTCTAAAACTATTTTAGATTTGATGTTTAATTTGCCACGCCAGTCCCAGTTAGTGCCTGAAAAGTCACAAAAGACTAATCATAGCAGCAAAACCGATGCTGAAAGTCCAGCGTCTAACAGAAATCCTGTCAGGTCTGGGTTCCACTTTGTCTTCCTGCACACGTGCACACACACACAGAGGAGTGTGTGTGTGTGTGTGTGTGTGTGTGTGTGTGTGTGTGTGTGTGTGTGTGTGTGGGTGCAGGAGCAGAGAGGATTATTAGTAGGAGCACTGTGGGGGGTTTGCCAGGCTCCGGGGGGAGGTGAAGTGGATTTCTTCTCTCATCCATTTTTCATGGCTTTTCTCCTGTCAGATCTGCAGCCTGTGTACATACGGCTGACGGGTCGATTCTCTTTTATCTTTAAGCATCTTTTGGGGACTCTCTGCATGCGTCTGCTGGTGAGATGGGGCGCGGATGGAGGCAGGGATGGGTCAAGGTTGAGGTTGAGGCATGCCGTTTTTTTTACCAAGCTCTAATGACTACCTCACATCGCCGCAGACAAAGATGATGCTCATTTACAGATGTTTTTTCTCTGCTTTTGGAACATAGCACACCATCTTCTGCTAAATACATGAACATAAACATCTTCTTCTGACGGCCACAGGACACAAAGTCCTAAATATTTAAGTGAAATCTGTTTTCCACCGAGCAGATGGCTCTACCTAGGAGGAGCACTATGGAGGCCATATATAAACAATACTGTTTAAATGCAGTTTCTGTCCCTTGTGGGTTAATTCAAACACACATGTCCATTAAAAGGGGTTTTGAATAATTAACCATCTCCGTTTGGGACCTCTAGAGCTCATTGACCAAACTTGTTTCCTGTGGATGGCTCTGTCCCTTAAGCTGCAGACACCTTTGACTCGCAGCAATGATTAAAATATTCCTATTAATAAAAAACAATCAGTAATTAGGAACAATCATAGGACTTCTGAGGTCTTTTAGAGTTTAGCTGTATTTACGTTTAGTTATTGACTGTTTTGAGGCAGCCGTAGCTCAGGAGGTAGAGCGGATTGTCCAGTAATCGGAAAGTTGCAGGTTTGATCGCGGCTCCCGACAGGAAATAAATCAAATCAAATCAAAGCTTTATTTATAAAGCGCCTTCTGCAACTCTGTCAGGAAGCCCAAGGTGCTGATAACCCACCTTGCCTGCTGGTGGTGGTCAGAGGAACAATGGCGTCTGTGCTTGGAGGTCTCGCCTCTGTCAGTGCGCTCCAGGGCAGCTGTGGCTACATTGTAGCTCATCACCACCACGGTGTGAGTGGATGAATGATACACTGTAGTGTAAAGCATTTTGGAGTCCTCTGACTCTGAAAGGTGCTATACAAGTGAAGTTAATTTACCATTTTTGATTTGAAAAGCAGTCAAATGTGCATGAAGATAATAAACCCAATCATCGGGATGAGGTTTAAAGCCCCACCCACTCACCTGCACAACATTAGGGTGGATTTTAAGCCTCAGATAACTGATTACAGTTGAAAAAATGGGAACGATTCATCTACAAAAATGCTGAAAAAATATTTAAAAAAAAACATTTAAGTGTATATCTGCATGGAGGGGGTGGGGCTTAAAACTAGAATCAGCCACTAGGAGGTGCTTATTTAGTTTTGGCCAAATCTGGATAATGGCAGAACATGTCATCATCTTTATTTCTGCATTCCTGAGAAAAAAACATCCTGATGCTCCGATCGACTCATTTAGGAGCTCGTGGTCCCCCAACAGCAGAAGATATCAAAAGCTTGTTAACTCCTGTTGCCTAGCAACAACATTTTCATGACCCACACCACACGGGTAACAAAACAAATGATGTACTTGACCTTCAAAATCAAAACAACGCAAAGATGTTAACTTTCAGGCTTTTTTCTTTAACTATGATGCATTAAATTCATCTGCTTTTGGTTTAAGAAGACCTTTTTATTCATCAG